AAGTAAAAGGTTTTGTTTTACATTAAAAGCTAGCTAGTGTGCAAACTCACTTTGGTGCCTTTGGTTCTCCTGACTGCAGTATAAGTCTTACGTGGTGTTTAGATTCAGCTTGGTGCCCTAAATCAGAAACTGTACTTCAGGCTTCCATCAGCTCAAGGTTTTTAGACACTGTAAACCTGAGGAGTGGGAGAAGACGCGTTGGTGTCTCATCAAAGGGAGAGTGAGAGTCGCACCACTCCTGCTTTGCTTGTTCAGAACAGAGCTGGGAATTGCTTACTTTGTTCCTATGTGGAATTTTGTTTATACGGTCGAGAGGAAAGGCAAATGTTTCAACATTTTTTTACCAAGTACACTTAATCTTGCTTGAATAATGATTCCAACCCACCAGCCACCTACAGGGCAATGCTTCACTAAAAGATTAGTGTATTGTTGTAAGAAATAAAGCATTTATTAGCAGTGACAGATGATTCAAAATAATTGGGGTTTATGCTTCATTAATTCTTCTTGCTTTTCTGTTATCACTTTGTGTAAACTTATATTAGCAGCAGGATTCGTTAGTTGAAGATTAAAATTCTCAGTTGCCTATAGAAAAGAGGTGGGAAGCAAGTCTTCATCTGCATCTGACATACCTGTGATTTGAGCTAGAAGAATTGTATCTCGAAACAAGGAGAGATGACTTTTCATATTTATTCAGGTTTTGGCCTATTTTCTGGCAGTGGAAACAGACAAGCTTTTTTGCTATTTGCATTTTTTTGTAGCTATGCAGAGGTGATTGTCATCTTCTTGTCCTCATAAAATGCAAGCTAAACAAAAACTGCTGTCTGTGCTCAACTCTGAATTCTGTGAGGCTGTAGAAAAACAGTCAGATATTGTCAGTTTTTACAGTGCCAGATTTAAAGGTTACAGCTATCATAAGGTTTTTTGGGGGAGTATTAAACACCCAATTTTCCACCCTTGAAAAGAATGTTTAAAACAGTAGCTAACGTGCATCTGAGTAGAAATACATGCGGAAAGTATCTTCAACTAAAACAGAAAAAATTTTTAGGGGAAAGACATTTGGCAAATGTAGCAATACTCTGCTTTGCAAAATATATTGTGCTTTTTCTGTTTTGCAAGGTTTAAAGCTTCACATGCCCATTGTTTTATCTGTTGGGGTCTTTGGCTTCTGGCTGCAAACACAAAATATAGGCAAGCATGCAGGGTTGTCATGTGGCAGAATCCTGCAGGAAAGCTGCTGTTGTGACCATCAGTGCTTTGTGTTGCTCTATAGCACTGCTTTGTGAATATCTGAAAGGTGACACAGGCAGCCTTTGAAAAGGGCATCATCTGGACTGAAAACTAGAAGGAAAGTGGCTGCAGTACACCAGAGAATTTCCAGGAGCTTCTTTGTCACTTCAGTGTGTTGGATGTTTGCCAGTTTTTGTGTCCACATCCAACTACTCTGACTGCATGTTTGCATTCCAGGATGCAATATATGCAGAATGCATGAATGGATGTAGAATCCAAACAGGATGGAGTTTGTGCTGTTTTTTTTAATATGACTGCTTTTACAGGCGCTGAGGTGTTTCCACGCTATAGGTCTGCATTACCAACACTCCGATGCAGTTTTCTGCTTGGACATGCAGCTGTGGGCATTGCTTGAATGTATTTTGGAATACAAGATTTGTGAATCTGGTGTTGCTGGGTTTCAGACTCTGCTGAACAGAGTGTATTTTATCTCTGGACTACACAAGGGGAGTGTGCCGTAGTTCAATTGCAATATGTCACGTGATTAGGAATGATTGTAATACAGCAGGCAGTCTAATGATTATAATCTTGTTAGGCCTTTAATACCACTAGCTGCTTTTTTTTTTTTTTTCGTAGCCACAAGTTTAATGGAGAAAATGTAATAGTTATTATAAAACCAAAGTACAGTATTTGCTTTTGGGAGGGGCTGTGAGACGTTCCTTAGAATTAATTCTAAACGAATTGTCATTTACTGGGTACACTTAGCAATTTGCAGATACAAAACACAGGTTGTGCTTTGGCATATCATTGCTGATCATCATCTAGGCAAAGCTTGTAAGTGGTCTTCTGCATCCAGCACAGCTACCATCACAAGAAAACAGGCATCTTTGAGGTATTTATTTCAGGAAGTGAAATGCTTGCCACCTGTGAGCTTCTAAAGTTAAACCACATTTCCAGACTTTAACACCTCAACCCCCAAATTTGGCCATACATCCACACTTGTGTTTGTGTAGGATTGCTAAAAATGATATTGCTGCTTTGGCCTTCACCTGACAGTCTAATCACTTCTTAATTTTAAAGAAGCAA